ATATATATATCTATATCTATACATATAAAAGCTGACATTTCGTGAAATTTCAGATAATTGTTTTCGCGTGAGTATATTGCGCTTCGAGAATTTCCAACACTTTTGGACATGAAAGTTTCAGCCATTTTTTGGATCGAAAATTTCAACCATTTTCAGTCCTTCGGGGCATCCGTCAAAATTGGAACGATACAGAGAAGATGAGCATGGTGGGCGAGGATGAGAAAATATTGAATTAAAAAAAAAGAAAAAAGAAAAAAAGAGGAGCAAAAAAAAGGAGAAAATTTCGACCGTTTTTCTGACAGATTTTCATCCCGTGAAACGTCACGTGACGTAGCATGCTATGATGGGAGCGGATTGTGGTGTGATCATCCTCCAATGAGCGTATGCTCACGTGGTCGTAAAAGCGACTAGATACGTCCAAAAAAAAAAGACCGTCTTCAGAGCTTTTAAGCTAAGCGTACGGCGTCCCTGGGATGTAATATGCTCATTCACGGAACATCTAAAAAATGGTGTTAAAAAAAAAATCTCAATTTGGGACCGCGTCGAAAAATATCTCCAATTTAACGAAATGTCAGTTTTGAAGGTCAAGAGTTCCAATCCCCTTTTTTTTTTTTGCTAAGGGTGGCGGAGAGTACGTCCTAATGGATCGTGTATGCACGAATGGATTAACTGTCGGTAAGTGCGGTTACTGCGTAGACACAAGGGGGATAACTCTTGACCTCAGGAGGGGACTCGAACGCTTGACCTCAGTCTTTACCTCAGGAGGAGTTGGGAGGAGGAGGAGGAGGAGGAGGAAGATGCCAAATGTTTTGGCACTTGCCGGATATGCCATTCGATGGGCAAGTGATGGAAGTCTTTACCTCAGGAGGAGTTGGGAGGAGGAGGTTGCAAAGGCTTTGGCACTCAACTGATATGCCTTTTTTTTTTTCTTTTTTTTCTGATTTTTTTTTCTGATATGCCATTTCGATCACCGAGTGGTGGGTATTTCCACGTGACCGAATGATGCAGTAGTAGTGTAGGGGAAGTCGAAGGCACGACTTGAGGCCAAATACGGCATAACGAAGCGTAACGCGCAATGGAGCCTCTCGACCGAGGTACGCTCTTCACAGCACATTACGTTTTTTTTTTTTTTTTTCCTTTGTTTTGTTTAATAAAGTTTCCGCTCTTTATGGAAAGTGAAAATTACCGTGTTAAAAAAAAAGACGTGTTCCTAGCGCACTGTTGTTCCCTCGAATTGTTTCGCGCTAGAGAAGGACAAGTCGCTTCAGAGCAAGGATGTCAAAACAACCTGTTCATCTCCCAAAACGCGTCAGCGGACGAACGGGCAGAGATGTTATACTTGCAAGCTGTTTTCCTTCCCTCTACAACAACCTGGGCTTTCCCTTACCACAGGAATAAATGTTGCTGTCAATAGTGTAGGTACTGCCACTCACAATCAAGAGGGAGTTTCTGTCGTGAGCGTGCAATTACCTTTGCAATCACGATAATGCAATCACGTTCAGGGTAACCGGCGTTCGTATGGGACCCCTTGGGGATGCGTTCGGCCGTTCGGGCCGAACGCGGACCCAGAAAAACAAAAAAAGTCATTAAAAAAAATCTGAAAAAAGGTATGTTATGGAGAAAAATAAATTAAACAAGATTTGCCTGAGCATTACATCCGAATTCCTTACCAAATTTGAAATCAAAATAAAATACGGAAAACAAATACTAATAATAAAAATAAATAAAAATAAAAAGAGAATTAAATTTAGTGAGTGCGCGAGCATGTTTTCGACACCGCCATCTTTGGCGATTTTTCATTTTGTTTTGCATTGCTAAATGTCCTGAAAATTTACAGATGTGTACTTCACATAATACAAAACCCACTAAAAAAGTTTCAAAAAATAATAAAATTGTTTAGACCCCGAACTAAAGTGAAAACAAAAAGTAAAAAGTGAAAAAATATGTGGGCGAGCACGTTTTGACACCGCCATCTTTGGCGATTTTTAATTCTTATTTGGCTTAGCCAAATGACTTGAAAATTTACAGGCATGTGCCTCACGTCATAGAGAACTCACAAAAAAAAAATTCAGAAAATAAAAATTCAGAAAAAAAAAAATTATTTTTAGGCCCCGAAATAATTTTTGGCGGGGGCCGAACGCCGTTGGGTTCGGACCCCGTACGGGACCCGGAACGCCCGTACGTACGGAGGTCTGCCCGGGGACCTCCGTACGTACGGGCTGGTGACCCTGTATACCACGAAATAAATCGCAGAGGCAATTCAACACATTTTCAATTTTTGGCACTATGTCGGTTTTTCAAAATGTCTACTGGTAACCCTAATGAACCTGTGCTACCGGTCCCCCGAATTTGTTGTCGTCGGAGGGAGCGGTTGTTTAAAAAATTGGAATGATATGGAGAGAGACGAATTAGTCCAAGCTCCTACACTATGTTCAGGGAAAAGCCAGCTGTCAAACATGTGCATGACAGTACAGAGGGGAGGGGCAGAACTGCAAAAACACAAGGAAAAAAACAGGAAAAACCCTGGAACAAGAATGATTACGGAGGACATCCGTTAAAATTGGAATGATATGGAGAAGGAAGATTAGCATCGCCCCTGTGCAAGGATAGACAAAGGAAATCATGCAGAGTATGGAGATTGAAGGTAGACAAAGAAAAGGAATGGTTTTCGATCGAAAGCAGAGTATGGAGATCAGGGGTAGGAAGAATGTGCGTAACCGAATTGAAGAACATAACAAATTTAAGAAAATAACACAATTGAAGCGATGTACAGCTTTGGGCACCACTCTGTTCCTTGCATGTGGATCCGATGAGTATGTAGAGATGGTATCTGGACACGAGTCTTGGTGCGGCCCAGGTGGTGTTGAGATCGAAATCAATATCATGTACACTGACCAAAGACGGATTGTGAACGGGGGACGTCCTCTGTGCTTGCTCGTTATATTTTTATCAGCTCAGGGGTGTTAACTAAGATATGCCAATGCCGTACCTAACAGGGTCTAAAGGATGAACTAAATGACTCCCTCCCTGATCATCAACACCTATGCTCTGCGCTGGACTGGTATGAGATGACAGCATGGCAGTCGACGGCACATGAAGGGCTGGTATTACAGATCTAGACTACCGTCTTCCCCCGAACGTAATGCACCCTGAAAATGAACGTATGCAAGGCATGTTTCCGGCCCAATACAGTCAAAATGAGGGTGCGTTGTTTTCGGGGGAAGATGGTAGGTGCGTTGTATAATATCGCCTGCCTTTAGTCTTTCATAGATAAGAGTCATAAGGGTGTCTCCTTCGCTAATTGTTTCTCCATTTCTAGGATATACAATAGCTCCACGAGTTGCTAAATAAGGTTTGCCCATTCTTAAGATGATTCTTTTATGGCATAGAGATAACTCACAGTTGTCATTGGGCTGTAGCTGCGGGCAAATGCAGTGGGACTACCTTCTTCCCCTGAAGAGAACGTATGGTCATTATAGCTGTATTTGAGGCATCTTTCAGTCCAAGTACAGCTGTAATAACCGTATGTTGTATTCGGGGGAAGAATGTAGGTGTGTTGAGATTACCTTCTTCCCGCAAAGCGGATCTAAGTGAGCCCCGAAGGACACGGTGCATTTACGGCCGTGTGTCAGAACAAAATGGCTGGGAAAAATACTACCATCTTCCCTCGAACACAACACGCCCTCATTATGACTGTATTGAACCAGAAAGACAGCTTGTATACATTCATAATGAGGGTGCGTTGTGTTTGGGGGAAGACAGTAGTAGTGGGGCCGTGTCAGAGCAAAACGGCCGGGAAAGGTACTAGTGGCTGAAGGTGGATGGGAGGAGGGGTTATTTTCACTTTTCCATTATTTTCGTTTTCCTGACTCCCAACACCTTTAGGTAGCGCTCCACTACAGAGCACTGTGCATCTGGACCCAATACATTCAAAATGTCGGATTCGTCCGAATGCACCTGGTCGAGAATGTGGGCAAATGCGTGCCGGAAGTTGAGTAGCGGAGCGAGGCCCTTGGTTGAGCATATTGACTGGTATTCAAAAAAATGAAAAAAAATGGACTTCAGTTGATGCTCAATTAATGGAGAGGTGGAGTGAGATTTCGGCCGTAGGAAACTGGATTATAGGGCTTTGTGGTCCCTTGCCCTTTTGACATAATTAATACATTCACAGTCAGGTCCACCACCTGTATTTGGCTACAGAAAAGCATTGCCAGCTGGACCCCCAAGACAGCACAACCACTGGCCCACTATCCCTTAAGACTGTGGCTGTGATTCCCTCTTCCACCTGAAAAAAACTGCAAGGGACCTCCAAGCAGCTTGTTCCCCCTGTTGATTGCAGGCCATATGGCATGAGCTGCGTGTGGGCCATGCGAGCACGGCCTGTCACCGATGTGTAGGACATTGCGAATGGCGCTCTTGCCCGATATGCTTACGGGCAGGAGTCAAGAGGTGTTTGACGAGTAGAATTCGGGAACGCGGGAACAGTTAGTTGAGGGGGGAGAACTGTTACGTCTTTCCTCGGAGAGGCGATTAGGTTGATGCTAGTCTTGCTTAGTTTTCTCGGTTATGCTATTTCCTGGTTTACGTGGAGGATGCTTTTTTCTTTTGAAAAGGGGTTTTGGTGGGGGGGGGGGAGGAAGGGGGGGGCAGCCACATCTGTACTGCAGCCATGAACCCTGAGACCTGCCTAAATTCCTGTCCTCCGCTTCCCCCCCCCCCCCCCCCCCCCCCCCCGCCCCCCCGGACTCAGTCCCCCCTGTAAGCGGCTATGAACTGCTTTTTTTCAGTCAGTTGTTTCACAGCCATGAGGTAGGTGTGTATCGTGCTTCATTTCTGTGTTGTACCTGGTCGCTCTGCAGTTGTGCCTGTTTTCATAAAGTGGTCACATCCACACAATTGCTGTATAGGTAATGGTACTCGTGGTGGCTGCTTGTCCAATTCATAACAAGGTTCTCTTTATTTTTTTTATTCTTTTTTCCCTTTTTGTCTCTTTCTTGCAGATAATGTACCAACATCGCGAACGAGACCAAGTGAGGACTCCCCAGATTCTGTAGTCGAGGCATGGGTCCGTGACAAGTACGAGAGAAGACAATTTTGCCCTCGGATGCAAACTGCAAAGCAGTTGAAGTCCAGTTCTCCCAATGGTGATACCGGACCGTCTAATCCACGTCCGTTGCTGTCGTCCTTGGCCCTGCCAACGCTGTCATCCCTGTCATCTTCGCTGCCACTGTCGGTGGAGAAGAGCTCGGGCAAAGAGACGTCTAATCTTGTCGCATGGGCATCTGGTGCGGATGGGAGTTCGGCACCCAATGGTGGAACACAGAAAGCTGAATCGCAGTCGACAAGGTCTTCCCAATCGAGCAGGTCTGAGAAATCGAAGCACCGCTCTTCTTCAAGTGGTGATGGTAGCAGGAGCTCTAGCTCTCGAAGAGAGGACTCTTCCCTACCACGCACCTCATCGGTACCGTCGAAGCAGTCTAGAAAGAAAGGGGGATCTTCAACACGATCTTCTTCAGCTGATGGCTCTTCTGGAGGGTCGAAGGGCACCAGCGCAAGTGAGCCGTTGGATTCGAACTGGGACCCTTTTGGAAAGGATGCTGATCTACTAACAGGAGGCAGTATTAGTTCTCAAGATCATATCGTCCGTAGCCGGTCTGCTGACCTGCTCCTTGTCGACAATAAGACTGCGGCGGACAACAAAGGCACATCTGGCACGGCTGCTGATTGGTTTTGGTCAGCACCCGACCAACAGAGGTCCCAGCAGAGGGCGAATGGAGCTTCGTCTGGTGCGGGCGCTGTCATGGAGCTGGAACTCCTTCCACAGCAGAGGCTTAGTGACAGAGGTGGAGGTGTAATGGTAAATGGTGGCATGAATGGGTTTGAGCAAGCATTAGCATTGACGAACGGAACGGCAACAAAAACCCGAGCGACAAATAATCCGTTTGCGGAGCCAGATTTGACGAGTCAAGGCACAGGAGGCAGTGGTGCTCCAGACCGAGCGGGGGTGAATGGCGAGCAGTGGGATGCGTTCTCGTTCCCTACGGTTTCCACGGGAGGTAATACGACTGTTAGTCCGCCTGAAAATCCGGCCATGTTTGGCTGGCCGCCACTTCAGGGAGGCATGAATGGTGGCGGAGCGATGGACCCGGCGACCTTCCAAGCGGGAGGCATGATGCTCGGGCCTCAGTCGAGGTCTGCTTCGGCGCCGAATATGGGTGCGCTAGATCTGCAGGCCAATCATGGCGCTGTTGCGGGGATGGGGCTGACCCCAGTCTGGAGCCAGCCGGACATGACGAGTCAGATGATGATGACCAATGGTTTTGTGCAGCCTGCTGCCAACGGCATGGGTGGATTGGGAGCGAACTTGGGAAGACCCCGGGAGATGGTGAATGGGAGTATAAGCATGATGGATGGCTTCCACCAGCAGCCACAGATCCAGCAGCACCCAGGTGTATGGCTTGGGGACGGAGTGGCAAATCAGGGCGTCTCTGTCAGGACCAGGAATCAACAACAATCGGATCCGTTCGCGAGTCTGATGTCAGGATTTGGGAACATGCGGTTAAGTAAGGGAGAGTCCGCGGTGACTAGTGCAGGTGGGAAATAGGCATGAGCAAATAAACACAGAGATGAACTGCACAAGATGGTTCATCGAAGGTGGTGGCCTCTGTCCGTTAGAGACATTGGTATTGGTGAATTGCAAAAGTGTGTGTGTGTGTGTGTGTGTGTGTGTGTGTGTGTGTGTGTGTGTGTGTGTGTGTGTGTGTGTGTGTGTGTGGTTGCCTGTGTGTGTGTGCATGTGTGTGTGTGTGTGTGTGTTGGGTTGTTAGGCTAGTACAAATAAGGCGGCGTCGTACACGGTCTGTCTTGTTGCTATTCTTATGGCTGGTTAGTTATCTTTCCTGTTCGCGCTTACTTCCTTTATTCATATGCTTCCTCTTTTTCTTAATCCTGATCTTGATCTGCCTACTTATGGTCTGTCTACGGAGTTTCAGTTGCTTTTGCTGCTTTTTCACATTTTGCATTCTTTCAACCCGTTCCATTCCGTTCTATGTTGTGGGTGGGTTTTCGATTCTCGATTCGTTGTCCTAAAACCTGTCTCTCATTCGCTGTCTGCAGGCTGCATAACCCATATCTTGTTTAGCTGCCACCATGTATACATTAGATCTGCCGCTGCGCACCATCACTTCGATTGCGGCTGCCAAAAGGAAGCAGCAACACTGTTGCCATTCGTCATCTTCGCCCACCCTACTCTCCTCTTGGTCGCCTTTCTGGCCGGAGGAGGTCGGTTTCACTTCTCCGCCTTCTAAAATCTCTGCTCTGTTCTGATCTAATCTCTGCCACAGTGCCGCACACACATGTGGTTCACAGAAAAAAAAACGCCTCTGCTCCGCTGCAAATCCACGAGCACGTTGTCCATACTCTTCTTAGTCGCCTTTCTGGCCTCGCAGTCAGTTTATCCGTCGTCTCTGATAAGGTCCCCTTCTGTCGCTAATAAAGCCTTTTTTTGTAATAAAGAAAGAGGATGGCAGTCCCTGTTGTGGGAGATGACATCTGGGTATTGCATGGTTGGATTTCCATGCTTTTGCTGCGGCCCTGGCGATTCTTGCGCTTGAAGATAGCGTCCTCTGGACATGTCGCAATATTGTGAATCCTCGATCCCTACTCTATTAGGGTAAATACATAATAAGGGGACCTCGGATTCGCTGTGATAGAGGAAACATCATTGCTGCGGGTTGTTTCAGCTGCGAATCTGATGATCTGGTTCTTAATCCATGGGTGGCCGTGGATGCCATTGACTAAGTACTGGTAGGGATGTAGGGGTAAGCGGTTTATATTCCTTCCCCCCCCTCCGTCTCCCCCNCCCCCCCCCCCCCCCCCCCCCCCGCCCGAGGAGCCTGAGAAATCAACCAACCACCTTTGCACGACAGTCTCTCTTGTCTATATACCCTCTGGAATTTGACCCCTATGTTGACGGGTTCGAGCTTTTTCTTATCTTTTTTCCTTTTTAGGTTGAAGTCTGCGCTTTGTGTTTCCTATGTTGGAAACACTTGCCGTGGTCATTTTCTTCAAAATAGTCCTGTGCGAGTTCCCGAACGGACCTCTAGTAGTTAAAAGTTTGAACAGAAATCAAGACTGGCAGGAGGTGCCTCTAGCACTGGCAGGGACCTGAGAGAGTGTTTTTTTTTTTTTTTTTTTTTTTTTTTTTTTGAGAGAGAGAGAGTGTTTTCATCGTTGTTCGTATGGATCTCTTGCCATGGACCGTTCCCCCTCTGTGATCTCGTCTCCGCGATTCTGTCTGTCCCTACTCTGTACTCATATGCTTTTTTTGTTGTCCACAATTGGTGAGTCCTGCCTGGCCGCATCACCCGGGGTGCTGCATGCTCTATACCTGCCTGAACCTGGACGCACTGCATGACTGGTTTCTGCAGTCGACTTTGACCAAGAAACTGCAGTCTTGTCGTTGCGGAAAGATGGAAATTGCTACTGGTACTCGGTGTTGCTCACGTTGTTGTTTCCTTTTTTTTTTTTCCTTCTGTTTTTTTTGTTTTTTTTTTTTTTTCTGTTTTGTTTTCACATAAACAGGTCTTTATGGCCCTGGCTGGTACTCAGTGTGGCTGATGCGGCGGATGTCTCCTCTGGCTAATGGAAAAATAAACAATATATCCGGCGATCCGTTGGTCTCGTATTTCCAGGCAGACGATCCGTCTTGGACCGCTGCACAAGCGAGCTTGGGAACGTATGCAGAGCTAATAATGGTCCCCGATTCGGTTCAAACTTTGGATAATGGTCCCCGATTCGGTTCAAAGTTTGGATCGACCTGAGTGCATGTGGTCAAGTTTTCTGTCCAGATTCATTTAGAATCTTGTGTTGTGGATTGAGGCCCAATAGGTGGATGTTTGGTGTTTCTGCAATGCGTGTTATGCTTGCTTATGGAATTTTGAATTATCTGATCCTGTTGTTGTCGCACCTTTCTGTCAATGTTGTTAAGGTGCTCCCTCCATTGCTGATGAGAAGTCGGAAGGTGAAATCACTGCGATACAGGCACATATGCCTTCCGCAGTTTTCCTTTAGAACAGCGAAGTTTGGCGTCAAAGGCTAGGCTCTCTCCCATTGTTGGGTTTGAGCTAGTAGTACTATGATGATGCTGCATGATGTGCTTGTTAAGGTTGGCATGAAAGGAATTCGTCCCCCTCCTGAGGAGGAGCTTCTCCAGCGACTGTGATCTGTTCCGCCGAATCGCATTTTCATGGTATGTTTTCGTCACGTCACGCCTGTGCGTTCCACTCCCCCGTCTTGTGCACCTGTGTTGCATGTGACCGTAGATGTCACTTTGTCACACCTAGGGCCTCGCCTCACTACACAACATGCGAAATGTATCTTGATGGGTTCAGCGCCAGATTCATCTGGACTGTGTCCAAATTGCGCCCATAGATGTCACTTTGCCACACCTAGGGCCTTGCTCCACTATGCAAGATGCAAAATGTATCTCGACTGCGGTGTTGTCCAGGTGTTGGGATCGTGCCGATGTCCCGGTATATTGGGACGGTAGTGACGTCCAGGTATCGGGACTGTGGTGATGTCCGGGTATCCGGACTGTGGTGATGTCCGGGTATCCGGATTGTGGTGATGTCCGGGTATCCGGACCGTGGTGATGTCCAGGTATCGGGACTGTGTCCAGGTATCGGGACCATGGTGACATACAGGTATCTGAATGTAGGTGGCGTTTGGGCGTGTTTAGAGTGAAGTGGAGCAGAGCGAGGCCCTTAGTCATCCACTAGGGGCTCTCTTGTTCATATCATTGAGGGCCTTGCTCTACTGCCGAACATTTGAAATGCATCTGGGCTGTTCATGGTCCAGATACATTCTGGCCGACGAAACATACTGAACGTATCTGGACCACATTGATCACCCAATGCACTTAGACTGTTGTGTAGTGGAGCAAGACCCTTACTGACTGTAGGTGTCAGTTTGCCGCAAAACTTGTCATTTTTCTCTCAGCCACTTGTTGAGGGAGGAACACTAGGCAAGGGTGTGCTGCTGTTGGTAGTTAGAGAAGTAGTGTAGGATTTGAAACGTGTCTCTAGCGGCCCCTTGCGAATGACGGTTCGCTCAGTGCTTGCGGGCGTCTTCTGGGTGAGTGGTTCTGTTGTTCGACAATCCAGTCGACCCTTTTTTTTTTTTTGACCGGTCTCATGTGGTTGGCTTTTTGCCCTATTGATGAGTTCTGAGGCCGGCCTATCTTTGTAGGAAGTGAGTAGGCGGTTTTGCTTGGAATTGGTTGTGGTTTAGGTTGTTTGTGTGCCCGTCATATGCTGATGCTTCTTGTCTTCGGGAAAGAAGGTAGCCACTCGCCCTATTGTATCCATCTGATACCATCACGATCCGAACTCGTACCCTCTCTACTATACAAAAACAAGAAAAACAGTTTCATGTTTATGAATCACCCACATGGGCTGGTTATGTGTACAGTTCTTTGTCTTGCCAGTACTTTCGTTGGTGAGCCATGCTCCATCTGTTTTCTTTTTTGTTTTGCTTTTTTAACAAGTGACAATGTATATACACATGCATATAAACCCCGACGAAACAGTCGGTCACACCCCCCGTTTGTTGTCCTCTTGTCCCTCGCATCCTACGGTTTACCGGTCTCAGTTCTGTTTGACGATATATAGCCTGCTGATCAGCCAGTGAACCTCTGAGTATACAGTCTGTCACAGTCCCTCTTCTCCCTCTCCGCCTACGGTGTACCTGGCAGCTCTGTTTGATGATATATATATACAACCAGGCTACCTTCCCCTTTTTTGTCACGGATGTTTTGCTTGGCTGTTGGTCCTTTCAGGTTAGCTTTTTAATATGACTTTATACATTCCCGGTGTACACCCCTCGCACATTCCCCGTGTACATTCTGTTTTGTCTATCCCTTTTGTGTACAGCTGTTATGTACGCTCTCTTTCCTTCTGTGCGTGGTGTGATTGTGACGGTGGTCACTGCAAAGGGCCATAGTAAAGAGAACAGTTATGTACACTAGCGGAGTCCTCCCTGGAAAAAAAAGGGGGCTCAGCATTGACTACCCCAGGGAAAAGGGGGCCTCCAAGGAGGAGCTCCATTTGTGGGTGTATGTAGATGTGTGTAGATGTATGTGGATGTTTGCCGATGTGGATGATACAGAGGTGAGTAATTAAGCATTCAGGACAGAACCTCCACCAGGGAGAGGGCATGAGGTCGGAAGGGGTCTCTGGGAAATCGGAGGGAGCGCGTTGTGGGAACGAGGGTTCTCTTTTTGTCCAGTCTTTGAAAAGTAGGCGATAGTCTCTCATTGCTTTCAAATCCCGCTGTTCCTCTCCCTTGTCGCCACTCCATTCCACCCTTGCAATTCACCCTTCTCTCTACCCTCCTACCCAGTCTGTGCAAAATGCTGGAATCAGTCTCCTAACGTCACCAACTTGTCTAAACAGGTCTAATTGTGATTTTATATCCGACCATCTTTGTGAGTTTGTTATGCACCTGCTGCTGAATCTGTTCTGTGATCTCTGACCCCTCTACTCTCACCTTCTCCATGGCCAGGGTACACCTCTGCCACCAGAGTGCCCATATCATTGTCCTCCTTCCCAGTCGGTACATATTCTCTACAAAGGTCGTGGATTCTCCTGCCAACGGCTGATGCCCACCCAATATGGCTTGCCATGACCAAGGCCAGGGGATGCCTTTTTTAGCCATGTGCAGTCCCACCATCTCCATGTGAATTGGGGGATCTGGCATTGCGTGAAAAATGTGTTCAATTGTCTCCGCCTTCTTGTGGGAGGGGAACAAACTCTGGCACCGCTGGCGCCATGGAAGCAGCAGGCCTCTTTGTTCCGACGGTTAGTGCGGTCTGTCAACCAGTCGTTGGTCGGCAAACAGCGATGGGCTATCTCCCACTGTAGGGAGGTGATTTTCATGGGCTTGGATTTCTGTTCTTTGAACCAATGGATCAGTGTCAGGAGAGTGCAGTCCACATTAAACCACTTCGGATTCAGTACCTACCACATTTTCTGTACCCCTCCGGATCAAATGAATATGGACCCGAGGGGCAGACCGATTCGGCTACAGCGTTAACGGCCGCACCAACCGGTAGGTACTGGTGGTTTAAGGTGCCTAGTCCATCGATCCTTAACCGAGCCCCTCAGATATTGAATGGGTCCGAGCATTTTATAGAGGCGGATTTGACCGATAGCTGATGCAGGCTAATGTGACAAGCATTGGGGCCTCCCCTCTTAAAGGGGAACTTCCATGTCCATTCCACTGGGTCCAGAGGCAGATCCTGGATCGGTGTGAATGGCTGGAACACCACCTTCTGTCCCTTCTCCTCTATGACCCTCACTCGGTACACTGATGCTTTCTCTTTCGAATCAAAGGGGGCTCTGCTCCCTTGGAAGGTGCCCGTTTTGGTGATGACGTAGTGCTTGATCAGGACCGTTTGGGGTGAGACCATGTGAATCCCGCCAATCCTCTGCGGGGTCTCCCTACTTGCCACCCAATCACCTACTCTCAGGGTGGGACCACGTTTTCGCCAGTGGGATGGCTTCAATTAGGTTATCCAAAAGCCCGTCCACACGATGGCAGTGCGGGGTAGGGTTCCCCGCAATTGCTCTCCTGTTATCCAGTCCTGTCTCCCATTGTCCCAGAGATCCCCAACCCTAAGGACACCTCATTTGACCCAGCTTTTCCAGGGCAGGGAGGAGCTTGTCATGATGAGGCAGCCTCTCAGATCTCTCACCCATCGATTTCCAAACAGGGGTTGGCGGTAGACTTCCTCCCAACAGTCGGGGTCGGTCCTGTTTGGGAGCGGAAGTCTGCGCTAGGATTCAAGTAAGGATGGCCAGAAGTAGTCCGTTGTCCGGCCTCCGCCATCTACCCGCTCCCTCCCTTGTGGGAGTTTGCGTGGGAACGTACAGAAATGGTCTTCCAGCCATGTCAGTGGGTGTATCCCTTGGGGGTTTGCCGCCGGGGCCAGCCGGGCCAAATGTTCCAGAGCTAAAAGGCAACACGGGCACCGGCGGTCAAATAAGCTTTTTAACCCATTTTAATTGCACTTGCGTGGCTGGGTCATTTATTCCCAAGCGTCCCCCTGCCTTGGGCTGGATAATTGAGTCCCATGCCTCTCGGCTAATCACATGGCTCTGTGCTGTACGGTTCCTATTTGAAAATACTAGTACCTCCGCCTGTGTTGGGAAAAAGGGAAACTGGCAGTTTTTCCAAATTCCTAAAAACTTGGGAGCTGGTCCGACGACGGACGCCGTTGATACATCTTATCAGTGGCTGTCGTTTGGTGTCGGCCCTCCTAAAAGACCGGAGACCCACTAGAGGCCTCCCTATTTTTCCCAACCAGCGGAGGTACTAGTGGTTTAATGGGCGCAAAAATAAAGAGGAAAAAAGAAAAAAGAATGAAACTGGTGGTGCTCGGATATACGATCCAACAGATGAAGTGAAAAAGTGTGGGTTGAGTGGTATATGCTCGTAACGGCAGGGCTA